TTTTCTCCACAGTCTCTGATGTCTTAAGTTCTCTCCTTATATTAGCAGCTTATCTGTTTAACTCTCAGAGTACCAGCATTAACAGGGTTAAAGAATCCTCCCGCTGGGCTCTGGAGACAGTTCAGAGAGTTAGAGCATATGCTTGGTGTGCACAGGGCCTGGGAATCAAACCCCCAACCTCCTCACCACTCTACTTTATGCGGCCTCCCATCACTCTTCGACAGAGCCCTCCTGTCCTCCAGCACCACTGGGGACATCCCCCCGATCCAAGAAATCTTGGAATAGAGATTATATATGTAGTAGCACTGTAGCACTGTCCTCCCATTGTTCACTGATTTGCTCGAGTGGACCCAGTACTGTCTCCATTGTGAGACTTGTTACTGTGTTTGGCATCTCGAATATGTCACGAGTACCTTGCCAGGCTTTGCCGTGTAGGTGAGATACTCTCGGTAGCTTGCCCGGCTCTCCAAGAGGGGCAGAGGAATTGAACCTGGGCCGACCATGTCGGCCGTGTGCAAAGCAAATGCCTTACCCATTCTGCTATCGCTCCAGCCCGTAGTAGACCATTAAAATAAGCAAATAACTTTGCATTTGTGTGTTTCTTGGAGAAAACTGGCTGACCATCGAGACCCAGTGCCCCCTGGAAGCATTTATCTCTGTAACTTGTTAGGGCCAGAGTCCAGCTTGCCAGTTGCACATTTAGAGTCTGTTCTGTCAGTCTACTGGAGTTGATTAGCTAGGGAGTGCTGACTGGAACGAACAGTCATCTAAGACACTGATACATTAAAGAAGGTCAATTTATTAACTTACAATGGGAAACAACTACCAGAAAACCCATGCTGGCCCGACCAGCTCATTATTTTCTTATAGACAATCCACATAGGAAGCCAAATTATAATCAGAAGATTGCTTAGTGAGCAAGGGATTGAAACGAAAGTAGTTTTCTAATTTGAATGTTTAATGGCATCAAGCAAAGATAACCTAATTCACTCATCTTAACATAGAGATGGCCTTGCTGTGGGTGGTAATTCTCAGAATCATGGGCTGAGACTCTTAGGGGCAATGCTTGAATTATCTTAACTTTCTTGTAGGACTCTCTTTTGTATCGCCATTATTATTATTTTTTTCTTTTTGGGTCACACCTGGCTATTTTTAGTGGTTACTCCTGGCTCTGCACTCAAGAATCACTCCTGGTGGTGCTTGGGGGGCCATATGGGTTGCCGGGGATCAAACCTGGCTTGGCAGGCAAAGCAAATGTCTTACTGCTATACTATTGCTCTGGCCCAAAAATTTTAATAGATCCCTTCTCAAAAAGTTAGTACCTTCATTTGGACTTTATTACTGATCTTGAAATCATTTCCTTTTTTGAAGAGAGCTTGTTGGGATTTTCCCATTTGATCCAGGTAAAGATATACTGCTCACATATCTAAAATCACTTTCCTGTCAGCTTTCTGTATTTGCCGGTAAGGAATCTTGGAATTCTTAAATTACCACAGAAGAGTATCGAATTGCTAGATTCATTTCCAAGGGGCTTCTACAGCAAATTGCTGCAAACCGAGTGACTTTCAACAACAGAATATTTTTTCTTAGGGCCTGAGAGATAGTACAGGGGTTAAGTAAGGCCTTTTTTCTTTTACATATGGCTGACCCCGATTTGATGCCCTGCACTGCATATCCCCAAGCACCAGCAGAACTGATCCAAGCCAGGAGTAAACCTGAGTCCTGCCAAACATGGCCCCCAAACTGGCCCAAACAATTTCTTTTCTCAGAGTCTTGGGGTGTAGAAGTTTAAAAAAGCAAACTGTTGACAACTTCCGTTATTTTTTTTAAGGCTCTGAGGGAGAATCTGATCCTCTGTCCTCTGCCTCTTTCCAAACTTCTGGCGATTGCCCGCAGTCCTGGTGCTCCTTGGCCTCTAGCTCTGCATGTGGCATCACACGGTGTGCTCCTTGTCTGTCTCTCTCAAAATTCTCACTCTTCTAGCACAGCAGTCACACTCTATTAAGGGTTCTCTCTAATGTAGAATGACTCCAGCATAACTTGATTGCATATGTAATGTTCCTATTACTAGATAACACCTTTTAACTTCCTGGTACGCAGAAATTTGGATGGGAACATAATTTAACCAATATGTAACCACAGAAAAGGGGGCTTGGGGGGGATTGGGGTGTGTGTGTGTGGTTGGAAAGGTGGCTGAAAGAGCCAGTGTGCATGCTTTGCCCACAGGAACCCCAGGTTCAGTCTTCAGCGTGTTCCCCTAAGCACCATTGGAGGTGATCCCCTGAGAATCATGCTAGGAATAGCAAATGTATGGCAAATGCATCTGTATGACCCTGAAACATAAACACATACATGACTCCTTGACTATAGTTTGTATTCTTGCCGCTGTACCAAGTGGACTACCTTTGCTTATTGGAATGTTTTCCAGCATTCAAAAAAGCCTTTTTTGCTTCATTCTTTTGGCAGGTATATTTGAAAATCATGTTTGTATAAAAATTTTACACCTGCAGTAAACTTTAAACATTATTTAGGGATTGGGGAAATAGCTCAGCTAGGAGAAAGAAGCCTCACCTAGGCTGTGAGGTCCTGGGTTTAACCACAACATCATGTGGCCCTCTGCATCACAAGCACCACAAGGTGTGGCCCCTATTTAAAAAAAAAAAATTGAGGGGAATGGAGCGAGAGTACAGCAGGTAGGGTGCTTGCCTTGTACCTGGCTGTCCTGAGTTTGATCCCTTGGCATCCCATATGGTCTCCTGAGCACCACCAGGAGTGATCCCTGAGGCAGAGCCAGAAGTTAGTCCTGAACAGTGCTGGGTATGACCCTAAACCAAAAACAAACAAAAAGCCATTTTTCTGATGTCTCACTTCTTAATCTGTGACTCACAACCTCAGATAGGGCCATATAACTGAATGTGGAGGTGGCAAAATAGTTTTTTAATTGTCTTAAGGGCTAGAGAAATAGTGCAGCAAGTAAGGCACTCATCTTGCACATGCCTGACCTCAGTTCCAGTCTCCATATAGTCCCCAAGTCTTGCCAGAGTGATCTCCAAGTGCAAAACCAGGACTAAGCCCCTGAACACAGCTTGGTGCGAACCCCCCCCCCAAAAAAAAATTGTTTTAAAATAAATTTCTGGGGCTGGAGAGTTTTTATATTGGGTAAAATACTTTCCTTGCATGCGGCCAGGGTTCAGTTCTGCATGGTATACAGCAGGAATAATTCCAAGTACAAAGCCAGGACTAACTAATGCTTGAGTATCACAGGGTGTAGCCCAAAACACAGAACCTCATAATAATAAATAATTTACTTTATTATCAGCAAAAGTTTGATTTGTACATCTATTTTATATACATGTATATGTAGGATCTTGTGAAAAATTCTGAGACTGAAAGAGTCACAAGTGGGAAAAGTTTAAGAAGTTGTGGGGGGCTGGAGCAATAGTACAGCAGGTATGGCGTTTGCCTTGCAGGCAGATGACCCGGATTTGTTTCCCAGCATCCCATATGATTCCCCGAGCATCACCAGGAGTCATTCCTGAGTACGTGAGTCAGGAGTAACCCCTGTGTATCACCAGGTATGACCCAAAAAGGAAAAAAAAGTTCTGGGGCCAGAGAGTTAGTATAACAGGTAGTTAGTATAATAGCCTTGCACATGGCCGGCTGGGTCATATCTGGCACCACATATGGTTCCCTGAGCACACCCCCTCCTCCCAAATCCTCCCAGCTTAGGGGTTTAAAATGTACAAGTTTTTGTGTTTATATAGTTCATTTTTATTTCTCTTGGACATGTACCTTGAAATGAAATTGTTTAATCATATGGTAACTGTTAACAAGTATTTGGGGGGAACTGCAGCAGTGTTTTTCAAAGCAGCATTATCAGACTCGCACTTTAAGGAGAAACAATTGCTGATTCTGTTGTCACAAAGATTTACTCCTGTGTTTCTAAGAATTTTGCAGTTCTCTCTTACATATATGTCCATTATATTCCAGTCTCTGTATGGTATGAGAAGTAAGGGGGGTCCACATCATTCTTCTATAGTCATAAAGCCACTTGTTGAAAAGGCTCTATCTACTCTTTTATTTGAGCCCCTGCCCCAGGGAAGATTTGTCAAAATAGCTATAAGATTTGACTAAACTCCTTTTCTGTTGCTTACTGTTTACTAATGAAATTACTCATTCAGAAGGGAAAGAGTAAACAGTTATAGTTTTTTCAGTTTCATAGTCTAAATTGTCTCTTCCATGGATTATCTTTCACTATTTGCCTATGTGATCTTATGCTTTTTGAGATACGGGTTTTCTACTTTTTTTTACCACTTTCACCTGAACGTTTTCTCTGAATCTTTTTTCCTATGAACTTTGATTTTTTTTTTCCCCACAAGTTTCTCTGACAAGACTTTGTTGGAAGCACAGCTTTATTCTGTATTTGCCACTGCTCTCATACTCCCAGAAACCTTCCACTGGCAAATGTTTTTCTAGTACATTTTGCTTCTTTTTTAAAAATCTATGATATCTACAAGTTAAGAAAGTGTAGTACAGTAGTTGATTCTTAGTGCATAACTCCAGGTAATTCTATAGTGGCACAAATTATAGGAACTTTTACTAGGCTAAGTTAGATATTAAAAATGTTGCCCATTGAGGGGTTGGAGTGATAGCACAGCAGGTAGGTTGTTTTCCTTGCATGCAGCCAACCAGGGTTCGATTCCCAGCATCCCATATGGTCCCTGAGCACTGCCAGCAGTAACCCCTGAGCATTGCTGGGTGTGACCCAAAAAGAAAACAAAAAATGTTGCCTATTGAAAACTGGGGACATTGGTGTAAGGAAGTGGAGACTGGTGAAGGGATTGGTGTTGGAACATTGTATGCCCGAAACCCAATCGTGATTAACTTTATAAATCACAGTACCTCAATTTAAATGCATGTGCACTTGCACACACGTACATACAACATATTTAATGTATGTTATATTTTGACTGTGCTAAGAATCTTCTTTTCCCTTTCAGAATAACAAGCCTTTGTACTCGTTTGAAGATAATTCAGACTACGTCTATGATGTCATGTGGTCACCCACACACCCAGCCCTGTTTGCCTGTGTGGATGGCATGGGGAGACTGGATTTGTGGAATCTCAATAATGACACAGAGGTGAGCAGAAAAATAACAAAAATTGCACAGAAAAATAGAAAATTGGAGATTTATTGAATAATTTGTGAAATTTCTTTATCCCAAGGAATGTAAACGGGCTGTGTGATTGTGGTTTCATCACAAAGGAGCCAAATAAGCTTTGTATCCTAAATAATAAACAGCATGCTGTGCAGAGCTGAAGGGAAAATAATGTTGCCAAGAACACTGGGGCATTTCTTTTAACTTCTGAAAAGCACTATCATGTCTCTAATATCCTGGCAAAGTCTCATTCATAAAGCAACTAAGCTATTTTTCATTCAGTAGGTTTAGAAAGCAAATATTTTAGGCTGTTCAAGTATACCCATCTTTATTGTGAATTTCTAAACGACCTCTTGAAAGAATTATATATCATCCGTGAACATTTGTCTTCATATGACTTATTTGAATGAAGGAAAAATCATTTCTTTTTCATGAAGAATTGAGAACAAAGTGTTATGGTACTAAAACGTAAATATAGAAACCACCAAACCATTTTCTAAATGCCATACTAAAATTACTTCTTGTCATTGAAATTTAAGTGCCACTTTTATTTTTAGCCATAGGTATTTGTGCCAGCTTAGGGAAGCTTAAAGTGTTTCTAGAATTCTGTTTTACTGTGAGGTGGTAAGAACAATGTGTCAGGGCTGGAGCAATAGTACAGAGGAAGAGTGTACCTGCTTTGCATGCCACCTCCTGGAATTTGATCCCCAGTACCATATATTGTCCATCCCCCACCTCCCCAGCCCTACCAGGAATGAATCTGAGCACAGAGCCAGAAGTAATCCCTGAGCATCACAGGTGTGCCTCCCCCCCCAAAAAAAAAAGTAGTTTGTCACAATTCTGTCAGTAACAGTTTCTGAAGTAAAAGTCTTGGTGTGTACTTCCTTTCCCCCTCTTTTCCACATCTCTTCATGGTTTTTGTTTGTTTGTTTGTTTTTTGCTTTTTGGGTCACACCCGTTGATGCACAGGGGTTACTCCTGGCTCATGCACTCCTTGATTACTTGATTACTTGAATTACTCCTTGAGGTGCTCGGGGGACCATATGAGATGCTGGGAATTGAACCCGAGTCGGCCGCATGCAAGGCAACCCCCTACCCGCTGTGCTATCGCTCCAGCCCCACATCTCTTCATGTTTTTTAAGGCATCTTTTCAAATATTTTGAAAATGGTTAGTTATAGAAGGCAAAGAAGTTGTATACTGAAATTGTAAGAATTTCAACAGTATGTTAGCTGCTTGTTCAATAATTTGAGAAAATTTAAATATTGTTAGGAAAAAGTATTTCTTTTTGGAAAATTGGACTTACCTCACTATATATTATAGTTGCCTAGAATTGTACTAGTTTTAATTTCTTAGCTTGGGTTTTGATGTTGGAAATTAGTGGTTACAAATAAATTTATATCTTTCCTAGATCATGAACTCAGTGAATCTGGGTAAAATTTTTTTCTATAATGATTTCATCTTTCTAAGGGATTAAAATCACTTGGGTATCACTGATGTTAGAGAATTATTATTTATCAAATTTCAAAAAAATGTGTTACATTTTTAATCGGGGTCAAACACTGAGTGTTTTCTTTTTGTGTACAAAATATCTGCAACTTAAGGAGAGGTATAGGCAGGTTCCAAAGGACTGGTACCATTGTATTGGTGCCATCTTCTTGCTCTGTGCCAGGCAATTCCTGAAAACTAGAGGCTCGGGAAAGAACCATACTGTACCTTCAAGTATGAACTGTTTCTGGGGACAGTGGCTCAAATCACAGTTTTTAACTAGAGATGCAAGCTACAAAAGTAATTCCTATCTGCTAAAATTGAACTGTAAACTGTTTATGAGGGTTTTTGAAATGTTTTTTTTAATAGGGTTTTAGCCATCTTTTTTCAAATAGCTTGACTTCTTAAAGAAGTTAAAACCACAAAGAACCCTTTATCAAAGAAAAGTTCTTTCAAAATGATGTACCAAGTTATATGTGAGAATTTTTCATATAAGAATTTCAGTTATTTTCCCAAACCATTTTCAAGAATTGACTGTAATGTCATTCATAATGTATCATTGAAGAGAAAGAAAGTTGGGGAAATTCTTTTCTTCTCTATTCTTTTTTTCCTTTTTTTTTCTTTTTGCCCCCCACAACTCTGTGTTATTTTAATTTGTGTTTTTTAAAACACATATTGGAAGGAAGATAAATTACTTTCTTACACGTTGATGGAAATCTTGATGAAATTTTTAACATTGCACTATATTTTAAATGATTCTAGGTACCAACTGCCAGCATTTCTGTGGAGGGAAATCCTGCTCTCAATCGTGTACGATGGACCCATTCTGGAAGAGAGATTGCCGTGGGTGATTCTGAAGGACAGATTGTTATATATGATGTGGGAGAGGTATGAGGCTCATCTGTGTAATTTTGATACATCTCTAGCATTCACCACATTGGAGGGACAGTATCTTGGAGGTTAAAACTAGTCTTTGAGGTTCACAAATTGTAGGAACCATATGGTTATGAAAATGAAACAGTTTTCGTCAGAGAAGTAGCTCTTGAGATTACCTCTGTCCACATGCAACAGATCTTGAGGACAAGATGATATATTAGAAGTTGATGTTCTTTGAAGCATGCCATGCTGAAAACTTAAAGTTCTTTTATTTTTTTATTTAAATACTATTTTATTATTTGCTTATTTATCTTTGGAAACAATATTTTTAAGGTTGAAGAAGAAGTTTGGTGTTATAGAAAGACTTTGGGGCTTTACAGAATTGATACTGAGATAAAATTTCAATTTTCTCTGTTAGGGACGCATTGGGGCAAAGTAGTAGAAACCAAAAATTTGCTTGGGAGAGTTATAACTATGGGATATGTGAATCTTGACTCAAGCCTTGTTACAAGCCATTGTCATTTAATCCAACAGGATGAATTACAAGTCTCATCTTCAGTGCTTGGGTCAGCTGTACACAAGTGTCATTTATTTTTCTCCTTTTTAGCTTTGACTAGTAGGTTAGTCACTCTGTCACTGTGCTTTATGATTTCGCATCTTCCCTTGACACTGAATGATTTCTGCCTACCAGATCTTGAGGAGAGGGAGGTAGAGTGAACCATTTAGGACATTCAGTTGAACTCTGCACACATGGAAATGCTCTTTCTGCACTCGTTCCCATCTGGCCATTTCTAACCAGAAATGTGGTTACAACTGAAGAACTAAATTTAAAATAATTTTAAGATATTTCTTTTTAATTTGAAGTATTTCAAATGTACATCATTATGTGTGGCTCATAGCTTCCATATTAAATATCAGTATCCTCTATCTAGTCTAATAGGATATAATTTAGAAGCAGCCACAATCTTTTCCCGCAACGGTTTGTGTCTTAAGGACAATTTCAGAGTTTTCCAGTATTATAGTTTTGGTCATTGGACTGCTCTAGTGAGGAAAAAATACTAAAAGCCTCCTTTTCCTTTTGCTGTTGCTGCCTTACTAAGGTGATATTTAATGGGAGTGGACAGAGATAGTACAGTGGGTAAGGCACTTGCTATTAGCCCCGGTTTAATCCTTGGCACCACCTATGGTCCCATGAACCTCTGCCAGGAGTGATTACAAAGCCAGCCAACTGTGGTCCAAAATTAAATAACAAATAATTTTTTAAAAAAGGTGCATACTGGGGCTGGAGAGATAGCACAGCGGGTAGGGCGTTTGCCTTGCACGTGGCTGACCCGGGTTCAATTCCCAGCATCCCATATGGTCCGCCAGGAGTAACTCCTGAGTGCAGAGCCAGGAGGAACGCCTGTGCATTGCCAGGCGTGGCCCAAAAACCAAAAAAAAAAAAAAGGTGCATATATTTTTTTTTTCGTGTGTGTGTGTGTGTGTGTGCGCGCGCACACACTATCAAACTCGGGGCCTCAGAAATGCAGGTCAAGTACTCTACCACTGAGCTACAACCCTGATTCTAACATACTCTCTGGTGAAGCTACTAAGATACCAAAAAAGATTGCCTCATGCTCTAATACCTCCCCCAAAGAAACCAGCTCTTATAAACCATGATGCTTCAAAGACTATTTCATACTAGGAGTGCTGCAAGAAGTCACTGCCACTGTTGTTCATCGATTCGCTCGAGTGAGCCCAGTAACATTGTGAGACTTGTTACTGTGTTTGGCATATCCAGTACGTCACGGGTAGCTTGACAGGCTTTGCTGTGCGGGCGAGATACTCTCGGCCGCGTGCAAGGCAAATGCCCTACCCACTATCACTCTAGCCCCGCTGCAAGAAGTAGAAGTAGAATTTTTTAAGGCATTCCTCCCAGCAGCAAAATTCATGAGGATTTAGTCTTAGAAAGTATCATTGTTATTCACCCTTGCACTGAGGGAGATAATGGCAAAATAATTTCTACAGCAGTCAAAACACCCTTCACAGACACAACCTTTTGTTTAAAAATGTTGTAAATCACTGTTAGTCCCTATAATTATGGAAAGGTTATTTGGGTCAGTTATTACTTTTTAATGAAAAAATTACTTTGAAAACAACTGAATAATAGTGGGTAAGATGATTCTTCTCTCCGTGTATATAACACGTTGCCTTCCTTCCAACAGCAGATTGCTGTGCCCCGGAATGATGAATGGGCACGATTCGGACGAACACTTGCAGAAATCAATGCCAACCGAGCTGATGCAGAGGAGGAGGCAGCTACCCGAATACCTGCTTAAGCTCTTGAAAGGAGTCCTGTAACTTTAGTGGGTGGGGCAGACTCCAAGTAGATCATAAAAATACTTGCATGCTTCTGTTTAAATGCTAACTAAAAGGAAATTTCATGGATTAAACTGTGGGTTTAATGCAGCAAGCAAATCTTACAATGTCCCTTTTTATATAACTTCCTGTTCTTTGAATTTGTGTCATTTTTAATACAGCTGATTGCCTTTGCAGTGTGAAGCCTTTTCAGATTCTTATATACAGGTGTTTATTTGGTATTAGTTCCCTTTTTGAATTCTTTTCAACTTTTGACACTATAACTATTATTTTTAAAGCATACACTGAATAAGTTCTGCATATTTTTAAATAATCACAAATCCCTGTTATACTGATGTTTCACTAACCATAATATGTAGGAATGTTGTTTATTCTTAGCTGTAGCATGCATCCAGTTATCCAGATTCTGTTCTAATATCTTTTTTCTGATTTGTAATTCATGAACTGATAGCTACCTATAAATAAAAACAAATATGCTTTAACTTTTAAATTTTCAGTTTGATAATTATTCTTACAGTCTTGATGTTTCTAGTCTCTTACAAAGCGTCGTATTTTTTCTTTCTTTAGCATCTGTTCCACATAACAAGTCTCAATGTCACAAAGCTTTCTACCTGAAAGCACAACAGATAGTATACTGTTAGCTTTCCCATTATATAAACTGATGTGTAGATAATCGCTCAGTGAAAAAATTTCTCTCTGATTAACTTTCACTTTACACCCATATTTTATTTCCAAAATATACTTAATATAAAGAATAAGTAGAAAGTTTTCTTTTGTTTTTAAGCATTAAATATTATAATTTTATTAGCTTCTTGTTATTTTCAGTAATTGAAATTACTGTGTGTATGAACTAAGAGTTAAAAACCTCCTTTAAGAGAAATCATGGTTGCAATAGGAGGGAAGGAAAACTGCTAAAATGAAATTTGTCATTGATCAGCTGCATCTTGAGACCCTGTCTATAAGGAAAAGTAAATGATAGATATCTAAGAACCAGTGTTAAAATCAGTATATTTCAGGTCTAGAGGAAGGACAACAATCAGATATTGAGTTTGCTTAAGTATCTGATCATTATCAAATTTTTTAAAACTGTTTCTTGTCCCTTGCCTTGGTTTTGGCCATTGTCCTTTTAAAGATCTGTTGTTGTTGTTGTGGTTAGTTCATCTGTTTTTAGGCCACACCTGGCGGAGCTCAGGGGCTCCTCCTGGCTCTGTGCTCAGTAGTCATTTCTGATGATGCTCAGGGAACCATATGTGGTACTGGGAATCAAAGCAATGTCAATAGCTTGCAAGGCAATTGCCTTAGTCTTTGTACTAGCTCTCTGGCCTTGTTGCTTTAAAGTTTTAAACCAGTAAAGATGGAAGATTGGGAATAGAATTTGAACATTTTTTTTTATTCCCTATTTTTTCGTTTGGTTTAGAATCACACCTGGCAGTGCTCAGGGAAAACTGGAAATGCATTCAAGGATCACTCCTGACAGTGTTCAGGGGACCATATGTGGTGTCGGGGATTGAACCCAGGTCAGCCATGTACAAGGCAAGCACTCTACCACTGTGCTATCTCCCCTGCCCCATATCTTTTTAAAGTAATTCTATAGAACCAGAGAGATAATAAAACAGTAAGGCGCTTGCTTTGCTTGCAGCCCACCCAGGTTCAATCCCCAGCACCACACTACGGTTCCCTAAGCACCTTAAGGAGTGATACCTGGGTGAAGAGCCAAGAATAGCCCTGAGCACAACCAGATATAGCCCCCTAGGGAACAAACAAAAAGAGTAATTCTAATAGGGAGGTAAATTCCAAATAGTAAGACTACCTTTGAGTATTATCATAGTATAAGAAATAATTGGCAGGCATATTAGACTTAATGCTAGTTCTAGCTCAGATACTCAAGTATGTTATTATCCCAAATTTTCCATCTCTGTGCCTCATTCTTTAGGTCTCAGAATCGAGTTTGGATTCAGTGATTTCTAAATTTTTTCCCAGTTCTAAAATTACTAACTATAATTACTCCAGGCGGATTTCCATTTCTATATAGTCTGCCTTCATAAGTTGGCACCCCATAGTATATGAGAGTGAATTTTTTTCTAGCAGCAGGCAGATATTTCAGGGTCACTATGTTGGTGAGTCCAAAATTTGATTATAATAGCAGACACCCAAGGGAACAGCAACAGAGAGCTGGTCTTCAGTTGGAAGCTGACCACAGGGGAGAAGAAGGTAGAACTCTGGCTAGGGGTTAAGGGTACACTGGGACAATAGTGGAGGGACGTGGGCATGTTGATGGAGGACATGATGCTAGGACTGTGTTATGCATGAAACCTCATCATTTACAAATAAATTCGATATGCCAGACACAGTAACAACAAAGTCTCCAATGGAGACGTTACTGGGCCCGCTCGAGCAAATAAATTTACAATAAATAAATAAATGTAAATTATAGTGCCTAATATTTTTTGAAAGATTTGGTTTCATGGTCTGGAGCAATAGTACTGCAGGTAGCCGACTTCCCTTGCATGCTAACTAAAAGTAAATTGACCTGAATTCAATCCCTGGCACCCCATGTGACCCCCTGGAGCACAAGGAGTGATCCCTGAGCACAGTGCCAGGAGTAAGCCCTGAACACCACCGGGTGTGGCTCCAAAGCCAAAGGAATATCTTTGATTTAACTAGGATACCACTGTTTTTGTATTATAAGCAGTCATACCATGACACTAGCAGTTAATGTACTTCAGTTCTCAGTTTGCAATAATGACTTGAAAATGGAGAAACATAATAATTAAAACCAAGGTTGGAAATCAAGAGATGTGACAAATCAGACGCCTCTTCTGTGTCTACATGCTTTGGACATACCCAGCAATGCTCAGGGTTTACTCCTGAGCACAGAGGACCATTTTTGGTGCCAGAGATCAAACCAGGGTCAGCCACTTTTGGAGCAAGTGCCTTCCCCCTGTACTATCTCTCAGGCTCCATGTAATGTATGGACTTTAAAATTTACCCTTCTGTAGAACTTTTTGGGGGAGGGGGCCAGAGGCCGAACTCCAGGAGTCACTCCTGACAGTACTTGACCCAGCTGTTTAAAAAAGATTCTGTACTCAGGTCAGTGATGCAGTGGTGCTCTGAGTGGAATTATGTGATGCCAGGAATGAACTTGGGGTCACTAAACTGTCTCCCCAGCCTTAGAACAATGGCATTTATTTTTGATGGGCGGGGTGGTTTACACACCCAGTGGTGCACAGGGCTTCTCCTGGCTCTCTGTTAGGGATCACTCCTGGCAGGGCTTAGGAAACCACATGGAGTGAAGGAATTCAACCTAGGTCAGATGCATGCAAGGCAAGCGCTCTTACACAATATACTAATCTCTCCAACTCCAGAACAATAGAATTTTTAATGTTTCCACAACCTTGAAATTGCAGTTTTGCTGTGTAATTTTTTAAATTGGAAAAAAAACTGTAAAATTAAGATATATATCAAAGAAGTAGAGCTCTTCAGTTACAGCCCTAGATGGCCCGTGGCTGTGATAAAAATGAGTTGTGTCAAACATGTTAACATCAAAGGTGGCAGTGTCATGGTCAATCTTGGATACTTAGGAGTGAAGGACCCAGTGGTCTTTCCCTGCTCTGGAGAAGTCTTGAACCCCATCCCCCACCCCACCCCTCTTTCAACTTCTTTCAATAAAACTACTCTGTTTCAGTTGTTTTTTTTTTTATGTACTTTACCCTGGTTAATGATTCAATGATGAATTCCCATTGAGTCGTTTTTGCCTTCTCCAAGCTACTTGGGAGGCCAGAAAGAAATTCTTGCTTTCCTGCCATTTTCTTGCTGATTGCTGGATAACTAGAGAACTTACAGGTTTGGGTAATATCTCTGGGAATCTGATTTTTGTTTTGTTTTCTGTTGGGACCGCAGCCAAAACTGCCCACAGAGCTTACTCCTGGCTTTGTGCTCAGGGATCATTCCTGGCAGTGGTTGGGAAACCATATATGGTGAATCTGATTTGTAACTTTTTTACTTTTTTTAATTGGGAAATTACTGATAAATAGATCTGGTAATTTTTGTGCATTGAAAGTCTCAAATATGAAAATAAAAACAACTCACATTCAGTATTTTCTTTAAAGGGGCCAGAGAGGTAGTACAGCAGGTAGAACACTGGCTTTACACATGACTGCCCCAGGTTTGACCCCTGGCATCACATATGATCACTGCCAGAAGTGATTCCTAGAATGCAGAGCCAGCAGTAAGATCTGAGCACAAAGATCTAAAATAAATGTCCTTTGAAGTAGAGGGTTATAATTTAAAACATTTTTAACTCGTTTTTCTTCTCCCCCAAAAGGTAATTAACGTGGATGTACTTACTGTATTAAATTTTTTAAATTCTTACATAGAAGTAATACGCGTTAGAAAAAGATCCTGCAAACCTAGCTAGGATGCCAGCTGCAAGATTGTGAATAGTCGCATTGTAATGCTTTCTCAATGGGTGATATTCTCAGACCTTTTGTTGAACTTCAGGGTGTACGTGTTCTCTTTCTGCTTGCCACATTCACAATTCCCAACTTCTTAGTGTTCGAATAGATTTTAGGTATTTAAGTTTTCAGTATGAAGCTTCTAGCCACAGATAGTTTCAGCATAGCCAATCAGCAGTCTTTTACAAACTTTTCTAAAATTGCAGTATTTTGTGTTGTTAGTTTCATAGCAGGAATCTCGGGTTTGGCTTCTTAATATTCCATTACCAGTTCCCAGTTGGAGGATGGAACAGCTTGCACTCAGGTAAGCTTTCAGAAAGGTCTGTTTCATTTTGTGAGGTCACTTATTCAGGTCTCTAGTAATGTATTATCCTGCTTCTCTTTTAATGTACTTGATTTGGGCAGAAAGCTGTGGGGCAGTGATTGTACAGGGTGTCGATCCCACCCACGCAGTGCTGAGCCTGCAGAGACCCAACTGCGCCTCGAGAAATCAGGTGTACCACTGGCAAGACTGTGATGATAAGTCGTTTGATCTTTTGTGAATTCTATACTGAATTTTTAAAAAACTTTCTGAACAAAGTAGTCGAAATGCTTTGGAGCAAAGTCGCCTATATTTAAGGGCAGCCTAGTATCTTAAGAAAAACAACATTGGCCTTAAAAGATGCAAGTTCTATTCCTATTACCCCCCTTACCAGCAGAGTTACCTAAGTCATATATCAATATTCTGATCTACTAAGTTGGGGGAAGGCATAAATAATAAGGTATCATACAAATAGGGGATTTAAATATATATATGTGTATAAATATGTATACATATGTAATATATATATATTTACACACTTTGGGGCTATCTGAGCTATGTAACAACAGCTCATTCTCTGAGAACTAATTGGCTTGGCTTGGTTTCCAATAAAAAAATGTTTTCAATTCTAAGAAATTACCTCACAACTCAAACCCTTGACAACTCTCAGATGTTTAGAAGTAGCAGTGAACTGAAGGCAAAATATTAATTGTTCTCAATTAAACATAGTCTCCT